CCCTTCTTCTTTTGTTCACCTAAAGAGGGGAATAAAATGGTAGACTCATAGGTTTTGAGGTTACCTCTAAGCCCGTCAATGGTGACGTTGGTGACACCAATGGACTCTTGGATGGCATCGGCTTTGGACCGCCACTCCGGTGTGAGACTTCGCAGGATTTTTCTCACAAGCTCCTTGTCCGTGTACGTCTTCTTGAGAGCATGGAGATCGTTGACGATTTTGGAGAATCGTTCAAACATCTCATCGATTTTCTCATTCTCCTTCATACGAAACAATTCATATTCATGGGTTAGAAAATCAATTTTAGCTTCTCGGACTTGATCCGTACCTTCGTATGTGATTTCTAGTTTATCCCACATTTCCTTCGCGGTGGTGCAACAAGATATCTTCCGGTAGTCATCCGGGTTTACGGCACAATAGATGATATTGATGGCCTTGGCATTGTTTTCCACTTTCTTGATGTCTTGTGCATCATACTCGTTCTCGGTCTTAGGAATGTTGGTTTCCCCGACCTTCTTCATTGGCACGTCTTCACCATTCTTGATAATTCTCCAAAGGAGAAAATTTGTGGATTGGATGTAAATCCTCATCCGCTCCTTCCAATAGGTGTAGTTCGTTCCGTCAAACAACGGAGGCCTTGTGGTGGATTGCCCTTCACCTAAACCTGCGTATGAACTTTGAGTAGAAGCCATTGATCGTTTCTCTCAAACGATTAAGTCTTACAGAGAGTAAGGCTCTGATACCAATTGTTAGAATAAAGGCCCAACGCTAGAGGGGGGGTGAATAGCGTTTAAAAACAAATTCGCAGGAAATTAAAACGAGAGCGTTAAAGTAAAGAGCGTAAGGAAGGAGCACACCGGATTTTATCCTGGTTCACCACAATGTGTGGCTAATCCAGCCCCCCCGAGAGACTCTCTCGAGCTACACTAACTCCGTTAAGCTTAAGGGTGCTTAACAAACCGATACAACTTGAGAACCCGAGTCACACGAGCCTCAACACCTTTGCTCGGAGATACGGCACTCCAAGACTTCTCACGAAGGAACAAGTAATTTCCTTCGAGTTTACAATAAGGGAACAACCTCCCTTAAAGTGTATGAAAACACTTAAACACTCAGGAATAAAACTCTCACAAGAGTAGATATGAGTGAACTAGTAAACGCTCAAGAACACGACAATTTCTTCAAGAATTGACTCTCAAATAGCTAAGAAAAATAGGAATGCTTATGCAATGAATGAGCATTGAAATGTTGAAGAATTGTGTGTTAAAAGAGAGGATTTGGGTGCCATTTTATAGCCCAAAAAGGGATAAACCCGTTGCTAGAATTTCCAACAGGATGAAGACAAATTTTTCAGGGACACAAGCTGATAGTCGATTGTCAAACCATGATAATCGATTATCCAAAGATTCCCTGTGCAAAAATTTAAAATTCTATCCGTTGGAGGACAACGGTAACCCAGATAATCGATTGTCAACAAGTGATAATCGATTATTGGTCCTCTCTGAAGATTCTGGGTTTTGGCTGCAAAGGCTAATAATCGATTATTGCAAAGCTGATAATCGATTATTGCGTGCTTTAGAACTTGGAAGTTCAAAGCTGCAATGGCTGATAGTCGATTGTCACTAAGGTGTTAATCGATTATCACCCAGCTAAAGTCTAGCAGCTGAAACCCGTTTTGAAAAACCGAGGTCCAAAAACGAAGTGTTCCCAAAAGTAAAAACAAAGTATGAAAAACATTGTATATGGTATAAAATAGTGAAAACAAGACTTGTTTGGTGAAAACCAAGTCCTCAAGGTCGTAAATCACGTGCGTACGGTTTTGACCGTTTTTCACGTGTTAGACCGATTGACCAAGAT